TGATAAAATTAATATTAACTTCTATTATTTTTTATATCAATTACTATTAAAAAATATATTAACTATACTATTAATATGTATCTTTGAGTATAAGTTAAGTAAGTTCTTACTTTATTAAAGGGTATGTGCAATTTCCCCGAATTAAGATACATACATTTTGCATCGCGCGATTGGAAAATATGGTCCAGCCAGTGGCCACCGAGGCCGAAGTCAAAAGCGTCTCCTTTAATCAATTAAAACAAAAAGGTAAAGGCAAAAGCATCTAATTTATGCAGGACCCACATTTAAGGACATGAGTTTTCACCAAAAGTTAAAAATTGGGACTACATATTTCATTTCCTTTCAAATAAGGATAAGTTCTTTGTAGTAGCTCAAAATAAAGGATAATTTGGATAAAAGTTTAGTATTAAAAATAATGTTGATCCCTAAAGTCTATTTATTAATATATATTTATTAAATTTTATATAATTAATAAATAAATTAAATAAATTTAAAAATTCATATTAATAATTTATATGAATAAAAATTTTCATTCAACAATTAATTTTTAAAAATATTAATTAAAATTTAAGTCTTTAAACAAAATTTTAAAAAAATTTAAAAGAACACTTTTTCTTAATTACAAAGACATCTATTATAAAATTTACTAACAACTTGATTAAAATTATTCATGTAATGTTAGTATTAAAATAATGTTATAAAAATTTATTGTACAAAAAATACAGTAAATATTGAAAAAAAAAAAAGGAGGCCGCCTTGGAACCTGCTCGACGGAAGGGCACACCTACTGATTTTGGAAAGCACAAAGAGACATTTTTCCATGCTGCAACCAGTCCTTAGGGGGAACAAGGCCTTCGCATTTGCGCAAAGCACTGATTCTCGAATCCTTGTCAGACGAACTTGGATTGGATTTTCCCGCCGATGGAGGGGATAGAGCCGATGGACTTGCTCCGATCCAATCTCTCCCGCGTTCGGCTGCCGGAGCCGACCAATCGCATCTACAAGCATGAATGCTGCGTCTCGTTCGATACTCCGGTACTCTTCGACTTCACTTTGCTCTCTGTTTCCTAAGAAAACATAGTGAGATACAGAACCATGGAACTCGATTACTTCTAGTAGTGCTGCTTGCATTCTAGCTAAAAAATGTCAATCTCCGAGCTGTGGCTTTTTTGTTTGCTTAGTTTGTGTTCGACTTTGGAGGAAGTTTTTGGAAAGACGGGGATCTTTTTGTAGTGTTTTCTTTTTGGCTTAGGCTAAGCTTAGAAAAGAAGAATTGGTTAGAAGTGGTTTTGTGAGTGCTAATTGCATGCAGATAATGTTTTGATGTTAGAATCGAATAGGAAGTGAAAACGAAAAGGCTGAGATGTAAAATTGTGTTTCTCCACGCATTTTATTTGTTTATCTAGCTAGCTACTTAGAAGGAGGTTATGGACACAATCCTGTGTTGAATTACATAACTATGTGTATGATGCTGGAAAAATGTGTGAAGGATATCTATTGCTGCGAATTAACTACACAGTTTCAACAGAGAGGAAAAGCTTCTTCTTCTTCTTGGGGTTTTTTTTTCCCTTCTTCTTCTTTTTCTTCTTCTTGTGGAGCTTTTCGTTTTCTAAATTCTATGGTGCTTTGGTTAGGACTTGAAAATCTCTTAATATGAGCAGATTGGAGGTCCTTTCTGTTCAAAGTTTGCATCCATTCTTTTCAAAGCTTTCTTATTATTGAGCTAACATGTTCTAATGGTGTTGTTGTGCTAAATTTCAGAAGTCTGAAGGTGGGTTGTTCATTGACATGAATTCATTTCTTGCATTTGGGAAGGATTATGTTGACTGGAATTACAGGAAAACTGGAAACCCAGTTTATTTGCATATAAAGCAAACAAAAAAGATTGTACCTGAGGATGGGCCTTTGAAGAAACCAATTCTTTTGGCTATAGGTATAAACTTATGATTATTGTTGGCTGCTCTTTTGTAGAGAAAAAGATATTAATCTATGTTATTTTTTTTAGGTGTTGAAGGGGGATTTGACAATAACGAGCCTGAGTATGACGAATCTTACAGTATAGTGGTTTTGCCAAATTATGTTACTCTTCCTTTTCCATCAGTGGAGTTGCCAGAGAAGGTGCTTAGTATTTCATTTTGTAAATAAATTTTTTTTTTTTTAATGCGGTAATGTTCTAAGGTGGCCATGTTAAATATAACAGGTAAGACTGGGAGTTGATGCTATCTTACTGAATGAAGGAGTTGAAAAGAAAGAGCAGCTTGCAGCTTGGACAGCTGATAAGAAGCAAGTCAGTGCATATGCAATGAATTTGCAACAAATTGACAATGGTGTTATTGTTCCTCCCTCCGGGTGGAAATGTGCCAAGTGTGATAAGAAGGACAATCTCTGGCTAAATCTTACTGATGGAATGATTCTATGTGGGAGGAGAAATTGGGATGGCAGTGGTGGAAACAACCATGCTATTGAACGCTACAAAGAAACTGGCTACCCTCTTGCTATAAAGCTTGGGACAATCACTGCTGATTTAGAAGCAGCAGGTAATGTTTCCCCATTTTTTGTGCCTTTTTTTCTTGTTTACTTTAACTGCCTGTGCTTGTGCCTTTAGGTACAGAGGTCTGATAATGGTTTCTAAATGTTACAAACTTTTTGTCCTCCATAGCAATATCATTAGTCATGATGGCTGATGCTTAACTTGCCGACCAAAGTGGATAAACCTTCAATATTTTTGTTGTTGATACACAAAATGTTTTTCTATTATTCTTTTTGAACTGACAAGCTAAATGATACCATGAAAAGAGTATGGTTAATCTATGATATTCTTTTACTTTTCTAAATTCTTTGAACACCATGTAAATGCGTGCTGAAGACCTTTTTTTTACATAAATTCTTTTCAATCTTGAATCAAGAATTGTTTCTGCTCTTTGTTTGTCATGACTTCTAGACTTGACTATTATATTTATTCTAAATAAGAAAAGTGCTTCCTGCAATTGCAATAAACTTTGATGATTATCTCTTTTTTGTGGTTGGGTTCCATAATACTCTCAGAACTTACCATGGGTAACTTATTGTGGCAGCTCAGACGTTTTCTCCTATCCTGAGGATGATAGTGTTGAAGATCCTCTATTAGCACAACATCTCCAATTTTTTGGAATTGATTTTACATCATTGCAAAAGGTTAGTAATTTCTATTGAGTATCTATTTCTGCATGTTACTCGTTTGAGATGCATGTTTCTTTGTTTTGCTCTTTGGTATTTACTTTTTTTCACTTTGACCTATAGTATTGTCTGTAAAATGCCCTTAGTGAAGGGGGTATATAGGTTGGAATATTTTTTCAGTGGAAAACTTACCAAATATAATAGAAGAGAGAAAAAAATCATAGTCCATATAAAAGATTCTGGTCTAACTACTTGTTTCCAGACTGAAATGACAACCGCTGAAAGGGAGCTTGACCAGAATATCAACTTTGATTGGAATCGAATACAAGAAAGTGGACTAGAAGTTGAACCTATTTTTGGACCAGGTTATACAGGTCTTGTAAATCTCGGAAACAGGTAATGTTGGTTGCATTGTGGGGGATACTGGATACAAGGTAACAGTTCTGACTAAATTTGTTTTCATGCAGCTGCTACTTGGCAGCAACCATGCAAGTGGTATTCTCAACACAGTCCTTCTGTGCACAGTTAGTTTCTTTTACTTTTATAATACCATGTTGGAAAATATCTTATAATCACATAAATTCTCTCTATTATTTATGCCTGCTTTTTCTCTTTTGGTCATCAGATACTACATGAACCAAAACCTAAAAATGGCCTTTGATATGGCTCCTGCTGACCCAACAGTGGACCTGAATATGCAGTTGTAAGTACTGTAATTTAGCCAGTTATTTTTTCTTATCAAGCATGTCAGGCAGTGAATGTGTTTTTTTTTCCATGTTGGTACCTATCATGAGGGCTCAGCTATGATCCTTGACAAACATTAATTGGTAATGATGACCCCCATGTTCATTGAGAAGAAGATGCTCATTTTCTCTTCTCCTTTTGGAATTTGAGCTTATTGTTATATTATCATATTGCTTTTATTTTGTATCTTTGTTCTGCCTTCTTTGAATTAGTCATGTATGTTCTCTGCCTCTTTCTTCTCTTATTATCCCTTGAGTAGTTATGAATCAAACATTAAAAAATGGATTTTGAATTAATTTTCAGATTGTTGTCAGTCATTTATATTTTACTGATTCTGTTGTATGGCAGAACAAAACTGGCACATGGTCTGCTATCTGGTAAATATTCTGTTCCTGTATCAGAGGTATGGAAACCTTAGAAAACTGGCTTCTTAGTACTCTTATTTGCTCTCTTGTTTATTTATTTATTTATTTATATCTTTTGGTAATCCAGAAAGATGGTAGTGCTGCACCCAAAGCTGATGCTGTAAGCTTTCTATTGATTTCTTTCCGTTCATCATCAGTTTTTTTTTTTTAATTGTGTGTGTAGCTTTGAAGAGTTGCTCATTAATATTATTCATCTCATTAATCTTTTGCTTATAACTTTAACAAATATTATTGGTTGTTGTTTTCCCCCTTCTTATTATCCATAACTTTCCATTTCTCTTTCATGTTGTACACCTTCTGGGAATATTAGAAACAGGAAGGGATTCCCCCTCGTATGTTCAAATCTGTTATTGCTGCCAGCCACCCCGAGTTTTCTACCATGAGACAACAGGTATAGTCATTTTATTGATGACTGTGACATCTTTTATAACGTACTATTTGGCATTTCCGTTGCAGGGTAAAGTAAATGTTGGGTGGGCAGGCAATTTCCACTTTTAGTTTCACAGTCTCACTTAGATGCTTGAAATAATCTGTAGGATGCCTTGGAATTCTTCCTTCATTTTCTTGACCAAGTTGAACGTTCCAATAGTGGGAAACCTGAATTGCATCCTTCTAGGAGTTTCAAGTTTGGTGTTGAAGAGCGGATCTTGTGTACATCTGGAAAGGTTGCTTATAATAGAAGGCTTGACTATATTCTTTCATTGAATATACCGCTGCATGAAGCTACTAATAAAGGTTTGTTAATGTGGGATCAAAATACACATAAATGTTTGTTCATTTGTATTAATCTTTGTGCATGTCATAACATTTATATTCTGAAAGTTGCTCTTTGAAAATTCAGAAGAACTAGAAGTTTCTCAGAGAATGAAGGCAGAAAAGTTTTCAGAAGGGAACAAAGTGTAAGTTAAATGGTTGTTTTTCTACCCCTTTTCTAGACTTTCTTTTTCACTTTGGACTTCTTGTTCTACATATCCAGTGAAGAAATTGTACGTCCAAGGGTACCGCTAGAAGCATGCCTAGCAAGCTTTTCAGCCCCAGAGCAAATACCTGACTTTTACAGCACTGCTTTAAAGGCTAAGACGACAGCAATCAAGTGAGATTTAAGATTATTTATCGTAATGGTGTCAATTTTCTTTTGGTTATGTTATTTGAAATTTTGAATAGTGCCAAAAAGATCCTCATCATTGAGGCTCAAGTTGATCTATTGTTCTTCTACTTGTGATAGTGGTAGGTGTTCTTGGTTAGTGTCTTGGAATTTTTGAAGGTATATTTATATGAACTTAGATGTTTTTTTCTTCCTTCTAATTTATATTGTAGGACTGCTGGTCTAACTTCATTCCCCGATTATTTGGTATTGCACATGCGGAAGTTTGTTATGGAGGCAGGCTGGGTTCCAAAGAAACTTGGTACTTATCATTCTTGCACATTGTTGTTTCACTAAAAATGGTATTTTCCTGGGCTATTCTTTTTACCAGCCACAATTGTGAATCCAGATGTCTACATAGATGTTCCTGATGTGATAGATATTAGCCACATGTGCAGTAAAGGACTTCAACCAGGGGAGGAGCTGTTGCCTGAGGGTGGTATGTAATACTTTCTAGCATTCTACTTGGCCAATTCATTTCTCTTTAGATTTCCAAGTGAAAAGGTGCTGCATTGAGTTCAATTCTGGTAATGTCAGTTTGTCAATCATTGATGTTTTTAATATTTTCCTTGCATTTATTATCCACAACTCCTAGTTCCTGAGGGAGAAGTGCAAGCAAGTTACCTTGTGGCCGATGAAAATATTGTTTCCCAGCTTGTCTCTATGGGGTTTAACCATCATCACTGTCAGAAAGCTGCTGTAAACACCTTAAATGCTGGGGTGGAAGAGGCAATGAATTGGTTACTTTCTCACATGGATGATCCAGGTACTTTGGAGTTTGGATGTAGCTGTACATTGATGTTCCTCTCCAGTTGTGAGATAGATATATTGTACTTAAGCATATGTTTCTCACGTGGTGTTTTCCTTTTCTCCAGATATAGATGCTCCTATCTCCATTGGGGCACAGGGTTCCGAGGCTCCTATTGATCAATCCAAAGTTGATACTTTGATTGCATTTGGTTTTCACGAAGAACTTGCTCGGAAAGCACTGAAAGCATCAGTTAGTTATCTTCTCATTTCTTTTGAGAATTGGAAACTTACTGGTTTTGTGATACTCCTTAAATTTTTATAAATGTCTCTACAACAGTTTTACATCTTTTCAGGGTGGTGACATTGAGAAGGCAACAGATTGGATATTTAACAATCCCGATGCTTCAACTTCATCAGATATGGATACTTCCACATCAGACAACACTACACCTACCACGGTAGACATGGGGCTACCTGATGGAGAAGGAAGTGAGTTTCCCAAGCCTCTTCATGGTTATTTTGTTTCCGCGAATAATACTATCTCATATCTTATAATTTTTTCTATATTACTTGTTTTTGTTGCTAGTTTTTACTTTTCAATTCTCTTTCTATGAACTAATCTTTGTGAAAATTTAGTAATATATATATATATTTTAAAAAAGATTAAAATTACAAAGCTTGCTCTAATTTTGTTTTGGGTATCAACAAATATACAACTGAGGAAACACATAGCTGGGTGAAATGTTTTCTTCTACTTTGCCTCACATAATTGTACTCCAAATTAGAGTTCCGTGCTCTTAATTTGGTTTTTCTCTTGTTTTATTCAAATTATTTGTGTTCCTTAATGCAGGATACCGACTTTTTGGAATAGTGAGTCATATTGGTACCTCAACTCAATGTGGCCACTATGTTGCCCACATACTCAAAGATGGGAGATGGGTCATCTTCAACGATAACAAGGTTGGAGCCTCTATTGATCCCCCGAAGGACATGGGATACTTGTATTTCTTTGAGAGGATTAAGGGCTGAATCAGTAGTAAAGCTTAGGTTTCATAGATAGGATCAAAAAGACAGCAGGGGATATTACCGAAATTTCTTGGATTCTTTTAACCCAGCAATATGTGCTCACTCTAGGCCTTCTCTGTGCGCAGGCTTAATCTGAGTGCTTGATGAGTATAAATTACATTTTTTGGGAATATTAAGATCCCCATTTTGCTCTTTAAAATAGAAAGGACTTGTAAGAGAACAGTGTGCACCCTCATCTTCTTCATATCTCTCTCTTTTCTTTTCTTTTTCTTTTTTTTTTTTTTTTTTTCAATGTTATGTTAACCCTCTTTTGTCATGAACCGCTTGTCCCCAGCCCTCTTTTGGTCAATCATTGAAAAAAACCTAAATATTACTCAAGTAAATAAATAATTTAGTAAAATGTGGTGAACGAATTTAAAATAAATTTAGAAATTATTAAAAAATTTATATAAAAGGTTTTAGGGTTGGATTTTTAACTATGCTCATTATGGTTATTAATTTTTTAGTTTTTAAACATAACAATTAAAATTTAAATTGTTTAAGATTGATTCAGTTTAATTTTTTCTAAAAAGATTTCAAAATTTGATTAAATTTAACTTGTTGGTTATGATTTCGGTCAATTTTAATTCTCTTTATTTAATAATTTAAATTAATCTTTTTTTTTACTTATTAAACAAATTCAATCTTTCATAAGTTTATGAAAAATGTAATTTTTATTTTTTTTAATTTAGGTAAGCAATAAATAAAATTACATCATAAAATAAATATAGATTATTCCTGAATAAAATACTTGTATCATCTTTCATTTATTGTTAACCAATGGTATTTTGAACAATATTATATCACTGCTGTTGAGATGACTTGCAAAGAAAAAAATGGTTTGATCAAATAGTGTTCTCAAATGGAAAGGGAAACTGAGGAAAAATCCATATTTTAATTGCAGTATTGTCTTCAGCTCAAAATAATAATAACAATGATGATAAAAAAAATGATGTTATAAAAATAATTTTTTTATATTATTTTTTTAATATATTTAACATTATTAATTTTACATGAATAAAAAAATTAATTATTTTAATGATATGTTAAGTAAAAAAAACAAACAATGATAAAAAATTATTTCTCGTAATAAAAAGGACAGCTTGGAATTTGCTCGACGAAAGAGCAAGGCTGCTGATTTTTTTCCACCAAAAAAAAAAAAGCTGCTGATTTTAAAAAGTACAAAGAGACATTTTTCCATGCTGCAACCAGTCCGTAGGCGGAACAAGGCCTTCGCATTTGCGCAAAGCACTGATTCTCGAATCTTTCTCAGACGAACTTATATTGGATTCTCCCGCCGATGGAGGGGATAGAGCCGATGGACTTGCTCCGATCCAATCTCTCCCGTGTTCGGCTGCCGGAGCCGACCGATCGTATCTACAAGCATGAATGCTGGGTCTCCTTCGATACTCCGGTAGCCTTCAACTTCACTTTGCTCTCCGTTTCCTAAGAAAAAGTAGTGAAAATACAGAACCGCGGAAATCGATTACGTCTAGTAGTGCTGCTTGCATTCTAGCTAAAAAATATCTGTCTCCGAGCTGTAGTTTTTTTGTTTGCTTAGTTTGTGTTCGGTTTTGGAGGAAGTTTTTGGAAAGACGGGGACCTTTTTTGTAGCGTTTTCTTTTTGGCTTAGGTTAAGCTTAATAGAAGAACTGGTTAGAAGTGGTCTTGCGAATGATAATTGCATGTTGATAATGTTTTGATGTTAGAATCGGATAGGAAGTGAAAGGGAAAAGGTTGAGATGTAAAACTGTGTCTCTGCATGCATTTTATTTGTTTATCTAGCTACTTAGAAGGAGGTTATGCACACAATCCTGTGTTAAATTACATAACTACGTGTATGATGGTGGAAAAGTGAGTGAAGAATATATTGATGGAAATTAACTACACAGTTTCAACAGAGAAGAAAAGCGTCTTCTTCTTCTTCTGGTTCTTTTTTTTTCCCTTCTTGTGGTGCTTTGGTTAGGACTTGAAAATCTCTTAATATGAGCAGATTGGAGGTCCTTTCTGTTCAAAGTTTGCATCCATTCTTTTCAAAGCTTTCTTATTATTGAGCTAACATGTTCTAATGGTGTTGTTGTGCTAAATTTCAGAAGTCTGAAGGTGGGTTGTTCATTGACATGAATTCATTTCTTGCATTTGGGAAGGATTATGTTGACTGGAATTACAGGAAAACTGGAAACCCTGTTTATTTGCATATAAAGCAAACAAAAAAGATTGTACCCAAGGATAGGCCTTTGAAGAAACCAACTCTTTTTGCTATGGGTATTTAAACTTATGATCATTGTTGGCTGCTCTTTTGTAGAGAAAAGGATATTAATCTATGTTATCTGTTTTTAGGTGTTGAAGGGGGATTTGCTGATAACGGGCCTGAGTATGACGAATCTTACAGTGTAGTGGTTTTGCCAAATTATGTTACTCTTCCTTTTCCATCAGTGGAGTTGCCAGAGAAGGTGCTTAGCATTTTTTTTTTTGAATAATTCTTTTTATTATTATTATTATTATTAAATGCGGTAATGTTCTTAGCTGGCCATGTTAAATGTAACAGGTAAGGCTGGTGGCTTATGCTATCTTACTGAATGAAGGTGTTGAAAAGATAGATAGAGCGGTTTGTAGCTTGGACAGCTAAGAAGAAGCAAGTCAGTGCATATGCAATGAATTTGCAACAAATTGACAATGGTGTTATTGTTCCTCCCTCTGGTTGGAAATGTGCCAAGTGTGATAAGACAGACAATCTCTGGCTAAATCTTACTGATGGAATGATTCTATGTGGGAGGAGAAATTGGGATGGTAGTGGTGGAAACAGCCATGCTATTAAACACTACAAAGAAACTGGCTACCCTCTTGCTATAAAGCTTGGGACAATCATTGCTGATTTAGAAGCGGCAGGTAATGTTGCCCTATTTTTTATGTCGTTTTTATTTTTTATCTTTTATTTTGACTGCCTGTGCTTGTGCCATGAGGTACAGAGGTCTCATGATCGTTTCTAAATGTTGCAAACTTTTTGTTCTCCATTGCAATATTATTAGTCATGATGGCTGATGCTTGCCAACTAAAGTGGATAAAGCTTAATATTTTTGTTCTTAATACACAAAACATTTTTCTATTATTCTTTTTGGAACTGACAAGCTAAATGATATCACAAAAAGAGTATGGTTAATGTCTGATATTCTTTTACTTTTTGAAATTCTTTGGACACCATGTAAATTCGTGCTGAATACCTTTCTTTTACGCAACTTCTTTTCAATCTTGAATCAAGAATTGTTTTTGTTCTGTGTTTATCATAACTTCTGTACTTGACTATTATATTTATTCTAAAAAAAGTGCTTCCTGCAATTGCAATAGACTTTGATGATAATCTCTTTTCTGAGGTTGGGTTTCATAATACTCACAGAACTTACCAAGGGTAACTTGTTGTGACAGCTCAGACGTTTTCTCCTATCCTGAGGATGATAGTGTTGAAGATCTTCTGTTAGCACAACATCTCCAATTTTTTGGAATTGATTTTACATCATTGCAAAAGGTTAGTAATTTCTATTGATTACCTATTTCTGCATCTTACTTGTTTGAGATGCATGTTTCTTTGTTCTCTCTCTCTCTCTCTCTCTCTCTCTCTCTTTCACTCTGCCCTTTAGTATTGTCATTAAAAATGCCCTTACTGAAGGAGGAATATGGGTTGGAATTGTTTTTCAGTAGAAAACTTATTGATGTAATAGAAGAGAGAGAAAACCATAGTCTGGTCTAATCATAAATTGCTATCAATTTCTTGTTTCCAGAATGAAATGACAACTGCTGAAAGGGAGCTTGACCAAAATACTAAATTCGAGAATGAAATACGAACAAAGTGGACAAGAATTTGAACCTATTTTTGGACCAAGTTATACAGGTCTTGTAAATCTCGGAAACAAGTAATGTTGGTTGCATTGTGGGGGATACTGGGTACAAGGTAATTGTTTGATATTTGTTCTGACTAAATTTGCTTTCATGCAGCTGCTGCTTGGCAGCAACCATGCAAATGGTGTTCTCAACAAAGTCCTTTTCTGCACGGTCAGTTTCTTTTACTTTTATGATACCATGTTAGAAGGTATCTTATAATGACATAAATTCTCTCTATTATTTATGCCTGCTTTTTCACTTTTGGTCATCAGATACTACATGAACCAAAACCTAAAAATGGCTTTTGATATGGCTCCTGCTGACCCAATGGTGGACCTGAATATGCAGTTGTAAGTACTGTAATTTAGCCAGCTATTTTTCATATCAAGCATGTCAGGCAATGAATATGGTTTTATCCGTGTCAGTACTTATCATGAGGGCTCAGCTATTATCCTTGACAAACATTAGTTGGCAATGACGACCCAATGTTCATTGCGAAGAAGATGCCTATTTTTCTCCTTTTGAAATTGGAGCTTATTGTTTTATTATATATTTGTTTTTATTTTATATCTCTATTCTGCATTCTTTAAATTAGTCATGTCTGTTCTTTGCCTCTTTCTTCTTTATTATCCCTTAAGTAGTCATGAATCAAACATTAAAAATGGGATTTTGAATTAATTGTCAGATTGATATCAGTCATGTGTATTTTACCAATTCTGTTGTATGGCAGAACAAAACTGGACATGGTCTGCTATCTGGCAAATATTCTGTTCCAGCATCAGAGGTATGGAAACCTTAGAAAACTGGATTCTTAGTGCTCTTATTTGCTTTCTCTGTTCATTTGATTATTTGTTTCTTTTGGTAATCCAGAAAGATGGTAGTGCCAAGCTTTCTATTGATTTTTTTCTGTTCATTATCAGTTTTTTTTTTTTTAATGTCTGTGTAGCTTTGAAGAGTTGCTCGTTAATATAATTTATCTCATCAATCTTTTGCTTATCACTTTATCCAATACTATTAGTTGTTGTTTTCCCCCTTCTTATTTGCCATAACTTTCTATTCCCCTTTCATGTTGTTTACCTTCTGGGAATACTAGAAACAGGAAAGGATTCCCTCTCGTATGTTCAAATCTATTATTGCTGCCAGCCACCCTGAATTTTCTACCATAGTACGACAGGTATGGTCAATTTATTGATGACTGTGACATCCTTTTTAAGGTACCATGTGGCATTTCCATTGTGGAAGTAAAATAAATGTTATGTGGGCAGGCAATTCCCACTTTTAGTTTCACAGTCTCACTTAGATGCTTGAAATGATCTGTAGGATGCTTTGGAATTCTTCCTTTATTTTCTTGACCAAGTTGTACGTTTCAATAGTGGGAAACCTGAATTGGATCCTTCTACGAGTTTCAAGTTTGGTGTTGAAGAGCTGATCTTGTGTACGTCTGGAAAGGTTGCTTATAATAGAAGGTTTGACTATATTCTTTCGTTGAATATACCACTGTATGAAGCTACTAATAAAGGTATGTTAATGTGGTATCAAAATACACACATAAATGTATGTTCATTTGCATTAATCTTTGTGCATGTCATAAACTTTATATTCTGAAAGTTGCTGTTTGAGAATTCAGAAGAACTGGAAGTTTTTCTGAGAATGAAGGCAGAAAAGATTTCAGAAGGGAACAAAGTGTAAGTTAAATGGTCTCTCACTGTTGTTCTGCCCCTTTTCTAGACTTTCTTTTTCACTTTGGACTTCTTGTTCTACAGATCCAGTGAAGAAATTGTATGAAGCACGCCTAGCAAACTTTTCAGCCCCAGAGCAAATACCTGACTTTTACAGCACCACGTTGAAGGCTAAGACAACAGCAATCAAGTGAGATTTAAGATTATTTATTTATATGGTGTCAATTTTCTTTTGGTTATGTTCTTTAAAATTTTGAATAGAGTGCCAAAAAGATCATCATTGAGGCTGTTGATCTATTGTTCTTTTACTTGTGATAAGTGGTAGGTATTCTTGGCTGGTGTCTTGGAATTTTCAAAGGCATATTGATGTGAACTTAAATATCTTTTCTTCCTTCTATTTTATACTATAGGACTGCTGGCCTAACTTCATTCCCTGATCATTTGGTATTGCACATGCGGAAGTTTGTTATGGAGGCGGGTTGGGTTCCAAAGAAACTTGGTACTTATCATTCTTGCACATTGTTGTTTCACTGAAAATGGTATTTTCCTAGGTTATTCTTTTTACCAGTCACAATTGTGAATCCAGATGTCTACATAGATGTTCCTGATGTGATAGATATTAGCCACATGTGCAGTAAAGGGCTTCAACCAGGGGAGGAGCTGTTGCCTGAGGCTGGTAAGTAATAATTTCTAGCATTCTACTTAGCAAATTCAGTTCTTGTTAACAAGTGGATTTCCAAGTGACAAGATGTTGCATTGACCAATTCTGGTAATGTCAGATTATCTATCATTGGTACTCAAACTGGATTCCTAGTTTGCTGTTAAAAGATATGAAACTAAAACCGAGAATGTTGGGACTTGGATTCTATGAAATGTTGGGAGTCTCTTGTCATTTACTCTGCTTTGAAAGTTTTTCCTCGACAAACTTTTGTCTTATAGATGTAGGATGATTTGTGAAGCAAGAGAAGTTGTTCCTTTGGGCCTCCTTTGGAAAAATGGAAGTCCAGAGGGTTGAAGAGTACCATTTAGAGCTTAAGATTGTTCTCTGTGTACTTGGTTTGTCACCGTATTAAATTTATTCCCCAGTTAATGCCTTTAGATTCTTTCTTTATACTCATTTCTCATTCAGAATTCAGATGTTTTCAATGCCTTCTCTACTTATGTTGCAACCTTATTTGCTGACGATGTTTTTTAAACTTTCCTTGCATTTATTATCCACAATTTCTAGTTCCTGAGGGGGAAGTGGAACCCAGTCACCTTGTGGCTGATGAAAATATTGTTTCCCAGCTTGTCTCTATGGGGTTTAACCATCATCATTGTCAGAAAGCTGTTGTAAACACCTTAAATGCTGGAGTAGAAGAGGCAATCAATTGGTTACTTTCTCACAAGGATGATCCAGGTACTTTGGAGGTTGGATGTAGCTGTACATTGATGTTCATTTCCAGTTGGGAGATTGATATATTGTACTTAAGCATATGATTCTCACGTGGTGTTTTCCTTTTTCTCCAGATATAGATGCTCCTATCTCCACTGAGGCACTGGGTTCTGAGGCTCCTATTGATCAATCCAAAGTTGATACTTTGATTGCACTTGGTTTTCACGAAGAACTTGCTCGGAAAGCACTGAAAGCATCAGTTAGTTAATCTTCTCATTAATTTTGAGAATTGGAAACTTACTGGTTTTGTGATACACCTTAAATTTTTATAAATGTTTCTATAACAGTTTTTCATCCTTTCAGGTTGGTGACATTGAGAAGGCAACAGATTGGATATTTAACAATCCCAATGCTTCAACTTCGTCAGATATGGATACTACCACATCAGACAACACTACCCCTACTGCGGTAGACATGGGGCTACCTGATGGAGGAGAGAGTAAGTTTCCTAAGCCTTTTTATGGTTATTTTGTTTCCTCGAATAATACTATCTCATAATGTTTTCTATATTACTTGTTTCTGTTTCTAGTTTTACTTTTTAATTCTCTTTCTAGGAACTAACCTTTATTAAAATTTAGTAACATTTTTTTTAAAAGAGGATTAAAATTACAAAGCTTGATCTTATTTCGTTTTCGGTGTCAACAAATATACAACCAAGGAAACAGAATCATAAGCTGGGTGAAATGTTTTCTTCTACTTTGCCTCACATAATTGTACTCCAATTAGAGTCCCGTGCTCTTCATTTGGCTTTCTTGTGTTATTCAAATTATTCATGTTCCTTAATGCAGAATACCTACTTTTTGGAATAGTAAGTCATATTGGTCCCGCAACTCAATGTGGCCACTATGTTGCCCACATACTCAAAGATGAGAGATGGGTCATCTTCAATGATAACAAGGTTGGACCTCCATTCATCCCTCAAAGTACATGGGATATTTGTATTTCTTTGAGAGGATTAAGGGCTGAATCAGTAGTAAAGCTTAGGTTTCATAGATAGGATCGGAAAATATTCGACAGCAGAGGATATTGCCGAAATTTCTTGGATTCTTTTAACCCAGCAATGGATGCTCACTCTAGGCCTTCTCTGTACACAGGCTTAATCTGAGTGCTTGACGAGTATAAATTACATATTTTTAGGAATTTTAAGATCCCAATTTTACTCTTTAAAGTAGAAAGGACTTGTAGGAGAACATTGTGCACCCTCATCTTCTTTATAACTCTCTCCCTTTTTTTTTTTCCTTTTTCTTTTCCTCTTTTTTTCAATGTTATGTTAACCCTCATTTGTCTTGAACCATTTGTCCCAAACCATTTTTGTTCAATCGTTTAAAAATTAAAATTTACTCAATAAATAAATAATTTAATAAAAAGAGATGAGAATGTCTAAAACAAATTTAAATATTATTAAAAAATTTATATAAAAGGTTGTGGGGTTAAATTTTTTAATTATACTAATTATAATTATTAGTTTTTTGGATTTTAAATTTAGCAACCAAAATTTGGAATCATCTGAGATTTGCTTGGTTTGATTTTTAATTAAAAAACTAAAAATCTAATCAAACTTAATTTAGTAGTTATAATTTTAGTTAGTTTCAAATTTTTTTCAATTGCAAAATTTTTATCCTTCCTACTTTCTAAAAGATTTTTTTTTTTTGTACTTATTAAACAAATTTGATTTTTGAGAAGTTTATAAAAAAATAATTTCTGTCTTTTTCAAATTTACGTGAATGATGGATAAAATTACATCATAAAATAAAGTAGATATATATCATTTTTGAATAGAATAGTCTCCTTGTTATTTGTGATACGTATCATCTATCATTTATTGTTAACCAATGGCATTTTGAGCAATATTATGTCACTGCTGTTGAGATGACTTGCAAGGAAAAAAGTGTTTGATCGATACTGTTCCCAAATGGAGTTTTCAGGAAGAGTTGTAAAGCAACACATTCACGTCAATGAACTAATGAAGTGATTTCAACAGTAAAAGTCAAAATTCTGGATACACTACAAAGAACTTTCATGAAGCTTATTATTTACTCAAACATCAAAATATGTTGCTGTTTTACAAACACACGTTACTATTGAAGTTATTTGGAACATCAAACATCAACATGTTGCTGCCGTAACTATCCCTCTCATCCTCAGTGCTGGCACCATTGACATAGGTTGTGGAAGACGAATTCAAGGGAGTTGAGCTCGAAGAAGGAGTTGAAAGAAGTGATCCAAAGCCCATATTCTGGATGTTCTCTCCAGAGAAACATCCCTGGTTTCCGGCTAACTGGGTAATGATGGATTGATCAGAAAGATCATCATAGCCATAGTCTTGACAGATGTTGGTTGGAATGGCAGAAAACTGATTCAAATTGGCTTGCAAAAGTTGGGTGTTTTGCAGAAGATAAGCATTTGTGGTGCTTGATGATGTTACTGGGGTTTGAATCTGGCTTGTTTGGAAGAATGGAAATTGGTTTTGAGCCTGGAAATTACCTGGTTGACTTGCTTGAATGTTGGATGATAAAAGAGATTTGGCTAAGTTAAGCAACTCTGGATTGATCATAGACCCAAGTCCTAATAAGCCTGCAAGATTAAGCTGCTGAGATGGGTTGTAGAGACCTGAGCCTAGAGTTGAATAGAGTTCAAGAAGATCGAAACGGGATATATGAGTCACAGGATCAATCCCCATCCTCAACAGTTTCTTCTTGATGTGGGTGTTCCAATAGTTCTTGATTTCATTATCAGTTCTTCCTGGCAAGCGAGCTGCAATGGCTGACCACCTAATAGTTCAAAGATGAGCTCAATGAGAACATAAACCAAAACGGTAACAAACACCAAATTGCATTGTAGAATAAAGAAACACTGTTTCCATAACATGACACATTAAAGAAAAGTACAATTATATTTGGTTTAGGTGGAAATCATTGACTTGCTCAAGCTTAATATTCTTTAATTATGGATTGTAGAATATGAGATAACCATTTCTTATATTGAATTCCCCGGATTGAAAGTTTCAGCCTTAGAGTTGAGTTGTATTTAGACATAGAACACACCTTTATTTACACAGCCACTTACACTTGAAACAAACATATATATATATATATATATATATATATATGTATGTATGTAGTATGTATGTATATAAGCTCAAAATACATGAACATATCCATCTTGGTGCAACAATTAGCACTTAAGTTGTTAGTAAAAAGTGAAATCTCAGGCAAAGTCAAGAAGATTAATTTACTCACTTGTTTCCCAAAACGCTATGCAATTGTATTATAGCATCGTCTTCCTCAGGGGAGAACTTCCCCCTCTTGATATCAGGTCTCAAGTAATTGGTCCACCGGAGCCGGCAACTCTTTCCACACCTCTTCAACCCTGTTAAATTCAAAATAAAAAGAACCCCATCACTCAAAATTACTCAACACGGCGAAAAGAAGAAGAACCAAAACAATTACGTACGAAGCATTTTCGAGTACCTGCATTCTTGGGAAGGGTTCTCCATCGTCCATGCCCGTGTTTCTGGATATAATCCATCAGTGTCTGGTCTTCCTCTGCTGTCCATGGACCTTTCTTTAACCCATTTTTGTCACAGCAAGGAGATTTCCCCATGTTGGCTCTGCAAATTCTTTGGCCGAAAGGAAGTTCGCCAAGTGTTTGTGTTTGGGTCTGAGAGAGGAAAGAGAGAAGTTCAGGTACGTTTTTGGGAACACAAACACGAAGTGTAATGCATGACAAAATGGGTGTATTAATAGAGGAGAAAAGAAGGCAATCTAAGGAAAAAGTTGGAAGTCAAAGGGATTCGGTACCGCCCAAGAGACGTGTCTTCTTGCTAAGAAAAACACATGCTGAAAAAAAAACATTGGATTGTTTCTCCGATTGTAAAAACAATGTTCAACTCTCTAGTTTCTCAAGCAACTGTGTCATATTAGTAGAAAAATTAAGTGGACTCTAACAAGAGCTTACCAATTTGGTATTTTTCACTAGATTAAAAACTTAAGATAAGGGTTAGGATTTCAAAGATTTACAATAGTTAATTTTTGTTTTTGACAGAAAAATATCTGTTCAAAAAAAATCAAGTTTAGGACTTAATTTACATATTAAAATGTATTTTACCTGCTTTTTACTTTAAAAAAGTATGGTCATTATTGTAATCACATGGGAAAATACTTGTGGTGGGAAAATACTTGTGGTGGTTAAATTTTGATGAACTAGAATAAAGGGAAAAACAAATTTTGGAGTTACAAAGGAAAGTCGGTGTAAAAGTTGCAACGTAATATATGTTACTTCTCATCCCAAAATAACTCTTATTCTGTTTTTTTTTTTAACAGGTTATAAATACGAGGGAGAAGGGGTTCAAACCTCAACCCTTAAGCTGGGATGCACCTTACAAATCGGTCTATAGTTGTTGAATTGTGAGGACCAAGTGTAAATAATTTTTATTTTTTATTTTAAATTTATTTTAAATTATTATTTTTTATTTTTTATAGATAAATAAATATATATTTTTACTTCAATTTTGTCCTTATCTCTTGTTTTCCTAGGCTCTATTGTATTTGTTTTATATTCGACTTTAATATATTTTCCTTTTTTATAAAAAAACTCTTTTACCCTTATTCATTTCATTTAATCATTTATCATATCATAAAATTTTTTTATATTTTATATTTTATTATTTTAAAAATAATATAAATAAATACATAAATTATTTTTAAATACTTACTGTATAAAAAATAAAAAATAATTAATTTAGTAAAAATAGTGACGTTAGATTAAGTTTATTCTTCCATCGAAATTAAAAGCCAAAATATTTAGGTCAAAATAAGAATTACAAATTGGTGATAGACTTTTCCAAATAGTTAAGTAATAGCTTTAAAAATAGTATACAATTTAAATAGTACAAAAATTAATCATTAAATAAAGAAAATTACTAAACATTTATGTTAAATTTACTCATAATTAATTTTCTTAAATGTCATGGGACCAAATTGAGGTGTTGGCTTTACATAACGTGACAAGAAATTAATTTTAAAAATATACGTAAGGAGATTTGTGGGTCTTAATTGTGAGGTTAAAAAAGAGAGAAAGACATTAAATGAATTTGATTGAAAATTTAGAAAAGATGTTGTGTTTGGAAAATGAGAGCAATAAAACAAAATTTTCTCTTGACAAAATCCAAAAGCTATCCAAAATGTCATAATGCCTCAAATCCCACAACGGATTGACAGGTTACTATCAAGCCGTTTGACTATCTTACTCAAGAAAAAATTAGTCATACATTAGCTGTCACCAACACTTTCTCGCCACGTAATCTGAGTTTTTTGGTAAGTCTGGGACCCACCTTCATGGCTTAAAGTTTCATCGGCTTCAAGCACTCAAGCTCGAGCCGCAATAAATGACTGTGCACCTCACCCCCCGAACAAAAAGAAGAAAAAGAAATACAATATTTTATTTGTCTGAAAATATATATTTTTTAATTTTTCTAAATTTAAATTTTAAAAATAATTGATATATTTATTTATATTACCATGAAAGAAAAAGTTTTTTTTTTTATAAAATAAGAGAAAATAAAAAAATGACTTTTATACTAGAATAATAATTAAAGTAAAAGAAAAACAATACAGTTAAAATAGAAAAAAAAATCTAAAAATCAAATAATTTAAATAAAATAGCACAAGGAAAAGTCAAAATAGTTTCCTTCATACTTTAAAAATAAATTATTTTGGGTTTTTTGAATAAATTTATTTAAAAAAACATAGTTTTAAAAGTACTTTTTCTCTTAATTTTTCTAATAAAGATTAGATTAATAAACACTTTGTACTTGAAAAAAAAAGAAAGAAAATCAAGATATCTTGACATTAAAAATAGCAACATGTCTAATAATAACTATATGGTGAATTTGATAAAGTTATGATTTACATTATACTCCACACATTTAACAGTTATAATTAGACATTTTGATATTTTTAATGGCAAAATTTCTTAATTTTTCCTTTTCTCTTGTACTTATGTACTATAATATTTTTTTAAAAAAATTACAAAAAGAAACTTTTATAAAAATTCTAATTATGCCAAATGGAGTCTAATAACTTGATGAAAGGGTATTCAAACTATATTTTGATGATAGAGAAACCTAACTGATTTCTTCGTATGTAGTAAATTTTGAAAGTACCTCTTTTCAAAGTTGGGGATCTTTCATTTTCTCAAAGTATGTTATCTGATCTTACCTATACATTGAGGAAAGTTGTGTTATAGTTCCATATTTTATGTGTATTTAATTCGATTTGAATATCTTTCCAAGAAAAAAACTGAAAAGACATAAAATAAGACATATATATATTGAATTCATGAACATGAAAATAAAAGTTAGCTAGGTTTTGAATTTGGTACAGTTGTTTTCAAGCACAACGCCAAAAACAGTATGCAATTAATGTTGAAAGCTGAATCCTTTGAATTTCCTTTTTTATGATGGAAACTGGCTTTGACTGAACTTTGGACTATAATAGTTAAATTGCTTTCTTTTGGCACCCATTTTGCTCAAAGCTTTCACACGAATATGGTTGTTATAAACATCTTGGTTGGCATTTTAAATGTATATTAAAGTATGCTTGAACGTAGCTTGTTCAATAATCCTGAGTGACCCGGTTTATGAGTTGAAAGAATGAAACTTCATGCTTTTAGTGAGCCTTACCGCATAATCAATTTATTGATACAAGCATGTGCGAAACCAGGATCAATTATTGGGTAAGGCAGCCTATTATATTTTTTAATCAATAAAATTTACTATTTTTATTTTAATAGGTAGGATCTATAATTACAAAACTTTAAAATTATAGACATCTTTTAGGAGAGAAATAGGATTTGTACTTAACCCTTCTTCAATGTAGGTCTGCCTTTAGATATGAGCAGATAACTTTGCAATTGCTCTAAAGCTATTAAAAGAAATGTATACATGTTTCCATACTAGCGTATAAACATGCACTCTTAAAAGTTTCTTCTAACCCTGTTTCATGCATGTTTCCATTAATTAGTACCATCCTGTGACAGGCTGTGAGGATTGAAATTCTTTTCTGGGACCTACGAGATTTATCCTCCCGTCAATATTTTGCACTATTTGAACATGGAAAATGATCAAGATTAATGGCATTATAGAAGATATCACTAAGGCTACCATATAGCTCACATGGCTATTTGACTCTTTGAAAAGTTCAATCCCCATTCAGACTTCTTCAGTACCGTTGCCAATTTCATCACATCCCATTTCTAAATTCCGGTATTCTCAATTAATGCACACCTAAAGCCTGACACCCATTTGTTTGAAAACCAAACTGTGAGTTTTTTTACCATAAAATTAGCTAGTACTGTTAGGACATATGCTAAGGAGTAATAAAAATTAAGGGTGCATTTGTAATTGTTGTGAGATATTGTAATTGTAACTGTAGTGATAGTTATATTGAACTTGTAATTATGATTGGAAGTTATTTTAATATTAATTAATTTATTTTTTAAAAGTATTATGGATAAAATATTATAAATTTTATTAATTATTAATTAAAGTTTAAAAAATACTATATGATGTATAATTATTAAAATATATAACATTAACTACTTTTGAATAAGTTTTTTAGGTTTCTTTGGATTTTTTTTGGTTTCATGGGAGAGCAATTCATAAGGAAAATGAGTTTTTAATTTTTTATGATATCTTCAAATAAATGAGAGGTCAAGTTTAAATAAAATATTATAAATTATGATATAATTAAATTAAATGAGATTAGATTTTAATAGATAATTTTGTAATTCTATTAAACATTACATGTTGTTCGTGAAAGGCACAATAAAAAAACTCTAAAATGAGATTTTTTATTTTATATA